GTTGGCAAAGAATGCTGAAAGTACCGTGGACTGCTAAAAGAACTAACAGGTCTGTCCTGGAGGAAGTGCAGCCAGAATGCTCCTTGGAGGTGAGACTGGCCAGACTTCATCTCACATACTTTGGTCATGTTGTCAGAAAGGACCATTCCCTGGAGAAGGATGTCATGTTTGGTAAGGTGGAGGGTCGACGAAAGAGGGGAAGGCCCTCAACGAAGTGGATTGACACGGTGGCGGCGGTGATGGGCTCAAGTGTAGCAAGAATTGTGGAGCTGGCTCCTCTCCCACTTCCCTCCAACAGTAACCTCTTCCCTGTGTCCATCCCTACATGGACCCCCACCCCGAGCTGTTTCCCTGTGCATAAACAGCCCTCCTTTATTCAGAAAAAGTTTTAAGTGAAGCGAGACTACCAGAAAGGCAGTGTTTCCTTTTGCCGTTCACAGGGTCACTATGAGTCGGAGATGACTCGATGGCACTGAACAACAACGCAACAGCAGTGTATGAGAGTCCCAATCTCTCCACATCCTCACCAGCATTTGTTATTTTATGAGTTGTTGAACTTTGCTATTACTGCTGGGCTGAAACAGCGTCTCATTGCTGTTTTGATTTGCATCTCTCTGGTAGCATAGTGGCTAAAGCACTTGACTGCTAACCAGAAGGCTGGTGGTTCAAACCCACCAGCCACTCCTCGGAAGGAAGGCTGGGCAATCCTACTTCCGTAGTGATACTGCCTTGGAAACCCAAGGAGGGGTCACTATGAGTCGGGGCCGACTCGACGGCACATAACAACAACAATGGCTGATGATCAAGAACATTTCCTCATGTATATTGGTTGGCTGACTGAATATCTTCTTTAGCGAAATATCTATTCTTGTCTTTTGCCCACTTTTTAATTGGACTGTTTGTCTTTCTGATGGTGAGGTATTGGAGTTTTCTATAAATTTTAGAGATTAAGTCCCTTGTCAGGTATGTCATTACCAAATATTTTCCCCCAATCTGTAGGTTCTCTTTTCACTTTTTTGGAGTAGTCTTTTGAAGCACATAAAAATTTAGTTTTTAGAAGGTCCCAATTATTTATTTTCTGCTGTTTGTGCATTTTGGGTTATGCTTGAAAATCTATTTATGCCATAAATTAGGGCCCCTAAATTCACCCCTATTTTTTCCTTGATGAACTTTATAGTTTTAGGTTTCACAATTTTAAGTCTTTGATACATCTGGTAAAGTATTTTTAATTTTTTAAAGCTCCAGTGTGATGCCCCAAAGAGAACCCTTATTCCTTTCTCACCAGCAAGCAAAAACCACAGGTGGTGACAAGGAAAAAGGATAACCACAGTATTTTGCCTTCGTATTTCTTTAGGACAATAGCCCCTACTACAGGCAGGCATTTTATCTTTCCTTTGTCTTGATTTAAAAAACTAACAATACAGGATATATTTTTGATGAATTTTCAAACTATTTTTAATTACAGAGTTACAAAAATGCTCTTGACAAACTCAAACTGAAGAAAGACCAAAAGGACGAAGACAAGGAAATGTAAGACAAGTTTCTTTTTTTCCTTGATCTGTGTTATTTTTATTTTCTTTGCTTTGGTCTATATGGGAGCTCAGGTGACGCAGTGCCTAAGGCATCTGACTGCTAACCAAAAGGCTGGTGATTCAAGCCCACCAGCCACTCCTCAGAAGGAAGATTGGGCAATCTACTTCCGTAGTGATACTGCCTCGGAAACCCAAGGAGGGCTCACTATGAGTTGGATCTGACTCAAAAGCCACAAGTTTGGTTTTTTTTTGGTCTATGTGAAAAACCAAAAACATAAAGGGACAATAATAAAACTCTTTGCTGGGATCTCCCCTAGCTCCCCATTTCATGTGCAAGAAGTGGTTTTCTTAAATTTTTAACTCACCACATTAAAATTCTCTATGATACAAGAAACACCACGGAGTGAGGTTCTGAATGCAGAACCACCACCATCCAATGTCATAGACTGGTGATTCTAAATACATGTCAATATATGCAGTTTCCTATTTTCTGAGTGTTCTGAGTCTAAGCTAATCTAAAATTGTTAATATAATGTATGCTATGCTATTCAGAAAGTTTTTTTTTTGTGTGTGTGTGTGTGACTTGGGTGAAAATTGACAGAGCAAATTCACTTTTCATACAGCAGTTCACATATACTTTGTCTCATGACACTGACCATAATTCACCACAATGCAACA